CAGATTTATGGTTAGAATTAGTTTTAGTATTAATGACGGTTTGAATTAGTATTAGACATTAGACAATACTCCTGGTCTCATATTATCTTACCTTCATAGAATGCTTACACGGATACTGAAACAGAGCCGACCCCCCCCCCCCCCTCCCCACACACACACAAAACCTCCCTGTACATACCGAAACGCTGATAATAAACAGCAAATGCAGGTTTGGGTTAAGATCTCTGGTTGCTGTGTATGTTGCCTGCATTATGTGACATAGCATAAACACATGAGACAGTCCATTCTTTGATCAGTACGTGTATTGTGTACCGTTGTGGAAAAGCATGCAGGACTATTTTGTGATTATTTGTCTTTGATAACTTCAGGTTGTCCTTAAGTTAAAAAAAAAAAACGTCCTACAATTTGGCAATAGAATCAAATAAAAAAAATTGTCCATCTTGTGTCTTTATATTAATAAAAAATATATATTACAAACTTACATATACAATATATACCTACATGTTGCTAAGTTTTGTTCTCAATTGGGGGGGGGGGGGGGGGGGGTGTTTAGGAGGTTTATGTCGTGGTTTGCTTTTTGTCCAAAGGGTTTTTGTGCAAGGGTTTTTTACCCGGAGCCCATGAAAAAATGTTACTATATGATGCACCATACTAAGCTTTCGCAAGAACAAGATCTTACCCTTATAGTGTATGGCTTATATCAGTGGCGTAGCGAGGTCGGGTGTCACCCGGTACGGCACTTAATGGTGTCGCCCCCCCAGAGGAGTAGCGACCCTTCCCGGGGACAAACTTTCAATTTTCGATTTGCACCCCCCCCCCCAAACTTTTGATTTGCACCCCCCCCCCCCTCAAACTTTGGATTAGCACCCCACCCCCTCAAATTTTTCTCTATATATTTTGCTATTTTTTGCCTTGGTGTCACCCCCCTAAATGGTGTCACCCGGTGCGGTCCGCACCCCCGTCCACCCTCGCTACACCTCTGGCTTATATACTAAGCAATCGTCCTCCATATCATAAGGACAATACAACGCTAACGTAATGTCATTAGCACACAATGTTTACACGATGGAAAGGGAGGTAAGCTGAACACCAGGAAGTCAAATGGCATACACTGACACGTTAAGCACAAGGATTATAAACAACTGAAATTTTGAAATTAAAGTTAAAAAACTATTCTTAGCGTCATTATGATTAAGTAGGCTAGAGCTTATATAGGTATTATAGGGAATTAATATGGTATAGACTGACACATTAAGCACAAGGATTATTTACACATGAAATCTTGAAGTTACCCATCTGTAAACTTAGCGCATATTATCATTGAGTAGGCTGAAGCTTAAAGTCTTTGTGGCAATTTAGGAACATATTTATACACAGTGCCGGCCCCGGGTTATTTAGCGCATTACGCAAAATCTCATTAAAATGCACCAATTCACACAAATTAATTTAAGAAATATATATGTATAACAAAACAATACATTTTAAGTGACATATAAATACTTCACATATAAATGTATTATAAATTGCATAGACGTATGTAGATTACACAATCAAAATTTGATTGTTCGTGCCTCCTTTAGCAAAAGTTTCTACTAATTCTTTTGTTTTAAGAGATTCGAAATTTCACGTGTTTTAGAACGCCGCGTCATGCGCGATTACTAAAACAGAAGTGAAATTAGATACCATCTGAAATGTTCGAAATTAAAAGATGTTTATTAAATACAATATATATCATATTATATAACCCTGTCTATAGTTTACATAATATAAACAAGTAATTAATATTATTTTTTAACAATGGTGATTACACATTTTGCGCCCACCCCCCCTATAATGGCGCCCTCGGCAATTGCCTAGTTCGGCATAATGGCCCTGTATCTTATGCCCTAACTTATTGCGACAGATACATTGCAGTTCTAAGTGAAAATCTTGTCACTATTTATATTTTTTATTTAGTCTACAACCACGCTTTTTTTGTGCTGACGAAGACCATGGGTCAAAACTTATAATGTACCTGTAGTTTTCTTACATCAGTGAGAATAATAATACAACCCGTTTTATTATTAAGTAGTTCTGTCACATGATTTATCAACTTTTTATCCAGTCGAAAATAACCCATATTTATTTAGGTACAATTTCTAGTACAAACATACCCAAAATACCATATTGTAAATGATAATTTACGTTAATTGATATATTTATTTTGGTACAATTTCTAGTAATAATAAACCCAAAATACTATAATGTAAATGCTAATTTACGTTATATGATATATTATTTTGGTACCATTTCTAGTACAAAAATACCCAAACTACTATACTGTAAATGATAATTTACGTTATATGATATATTTATTTTGATACAATTATTCTAGTACAAAAATAACTCACACTACTATATTGTAAACGATGGTTTAGGTTTTATTGTTTATTTTTTTAGGTACAATTTCGATAAATAACCAAGATAAAAAAACAGCTGGGAAACACGTACAGTAAAATGAGTAAGTAGTACAATTTTCTCACTTCGTGTCAAGTATGCTTTAGTGATTAGAATTCGGGTAACGTATGTGAAATGACCACGGGACTTCAATGTAATTACTTTATGTAGCTAAACCAATGTTAGATCAATGTTATATTTTGTATGTTATTGATCTGATAAGTGTTATTCTATTTCTGATTAAAACAAGTCAGTCATATGGATGTTATTCTGTAAGATAAAAAATGTCAGATCGAAGTTATATAGCATGCGATCATACTCTGCCTCATCAATGTAATGTGCGTTGTTCTACAATTGATATTTTACCACTCCGTCTCATAAACTTTGGGTTAAACTCAATCGTCAAAGTTTCTGTCAACCCATCATGTATAGTAGATTAATGCGTTTTTGGAAGCGTAAAAAATCAGGAAGTAGCTGGCCTATTCTGGATATAGATTTTTAAATAAAATGGCTGTAGAAAAACAAATCGATATTCGGTTAATTATCTATAATAACGCATATAAATAGAAGCCTAGCTAGTTTGTAATGCAAATAAAAAATAACCACTTGACGTTTCAAAATTTTATTGTATAGGTTGTATAGAGAGGTTGTATAGAGAGGTTGTATAGAGAGGTTGTATAGAGAGGTTGTATAGAGAAGCTGTATAGAGAGGCTGTATAGAGAGGTTGTATAGAGAAGCTGTATAGAGAGGTTGTATAGAGAGGTTGTATAGAGAGGTTGTATAGCGAGGTTGTATAGAGAGGTTGTATAGAGAGGTTGTATAGAGAGGTTGTATAGAGAGGTTGTATAGAGAGGTTGTATAGAGAGGTTGTATAGATTAAATTCATGGTTGTAAAGGGATTGTAGTCAAAGCAAAATGGGATATCCAGCAGTGTGATCAAGTGTGTGGTTTGAGTGTAAATTTTTGTTTGATTTCTGTGTACATGTGTGTGTTTACAGATGTGTGGGGTATGTGTGTAGATTTTTGTGGGGCGGGGGGGGGGTGTATATTATTATGGATTACGTGTGTAAATTTGTATGGGTTCTCTTTGTAAATATGGGTGGAGTATTTGTGTGAGAAATCTTTATATGTTTGTGTGGGGTATGCCTCTTAATTTGTGTGGGGTATGTGTGTATATTTATGTGAGGTTTGCGTGTATATCTATGTAGTGCGTGTACCTTTGTGTGAGGTATGTGTGTATATTTGTGTTGGTTTTGTGTGTACATTTGTGTGGGTATGTGTGTGCATTTGTGTAGTGTGTATTTGCATTTTTGTGAGATGTGTATGTTTGTTTTGCTCATGTCTATATATTTGTGTGCGGTTTGTCCAGCTTTCACTTCTATTGATGTGTCCAGCATTCACTTCTATTGATGTGTCCAGCATTCACTTCTATTGATGTGTCCAGCATTCACTTCTATTGATGTGTCAAGCATTCACTTCTACTGATGTGTCCACCATTCACTTCTATTGATGTGTCCAGCATTCACTTCTATTGATGTGTCCAGCATTAACTTCTATTGATGTGTCTAGCATTCACTTCTATTGATGTGTCCAGCATTTACTTCTATTGATGTGTCCAGCATTCACTTCTATTGATTTGTCCAGCGTTAACTTCTATTGATGTGTCCAGCATTCACTTCTATTGATGTGTCCAGCATTCACTTCTATTGATGTGTCCAGCATTCACTTCTATTGATGTGTCCAGCATTCACTTCTATTGATGTGCCCAGCATTCACTTCTATTGATGTGTCCAGCATTCACTTCTATTGATGTGTCCAGCATTCACTTCTATTGATGTGTCCAACATTCACTTCTATTGATGTGTCCAACATTCACTTCTATTGATGTGTCCGGCGTTAATTTATATTGATGTGTCTACCATTCACTTCTATTGATGTGTCCAGCATTAACTTCTATTGATGTGTCCAGCATTCACTTATATTGATGTGTCCAGCCTTTTTCTCAATTGATGTGTCCAGCATTCACTTCTATTGATGTGTCCAGCATTCACTTCTATTGATGTGTCCAGCATTCACTTCTATTGATGTGTCCAGCATTCACTTCTATTGATGTGTCCAGCATTCACTTCTATTGATGTGTCCAGCATTCACTTCTATTGATGTGCCCAGCATTCACTTCTATTGATGTGTCCAGCATTCACTTCTATTGATGTGTCCAGCATTCACTTCTATTGATGTGTCCAGCATTTACTTCTATTGATGTGTCCAGCATTCACTTCTATTGATTTGTCCAGCGTTAACTTCTATTGATGTGTCCAGCATTCACTTCTATTGATGTGTCCAGCATTCACTTCTATTGATGTGTCCAGCATTCACTTCTATTGATGTGCCCAGCATTCACTTCTATTGATGTGTCCAGCATTCACTTCTATTGATGTGTCCAGCATTCACTTCTATTGATGTGTCCACCATTCACTTCTATTGATGTGTCCAACATTCACTTCTATTGATGTGTCCAGCGTTAATTTATATTGATGTGTCTACCATTCACTTCTATTGATGTGTCCAGCATTCACTTCTATTGATGTGTCCAGCATTCACTTCTATTGATGTGTCCAGCATTCACTTCTATTGATGTGTCCAGCATTAACTTCTATTGATGTGTCCAGCATTTACTTATATTGATGTGTCCAGCATTCACTTCTATTGATGTGCCCAGCATTCACTTCTATTGATGTGTCCAGCATTCACTTCTATTGATGTGTCCAGCATTCACTTCTATTGATGTGCCCAGCATTCACTTCTATTGATGTGTCCAGCATTCACTTCTATTGATGTGTCCAGCATTCACTTCTATTGATGTGTCCAGCATTTACTTCTATTGATGTGTCCAGCATTCACTTCTATTGATTTGTCCAGCGTTAACTTCTATTGATGTGTCCAGCATTCACTTCTATTGATGTGTCCAGCATTCACTTCTATTGATGTGTCCAGCATTCACTTCTATTGATGTGCCCAGCATTCACTTCTATTGATGTGTCCAGCATTCACTTCTATTGATGTGTCCAGCATTCACTTCTATTGATGTGTCCACCATTCACTTCTATTGATGTGTCCAACATTCACTTCTATTGATGTGTCCAGCGTTAATTTATATTGATGTGTCTACCATTCACTTCTATTGATGTGTCCAGCATTCACTTCTATTGATGTGTCCAGCATTCACTTCTATTGATGTGTCCAGCATTCACTTCTATTGATGTGTCCAGCATTAACTTCTATTGATGTGTCCAGCATTCACTTATATTGATGTGTCCAGCCTTTTTCTCAATTGATGTGTCCAGCATTCACTTCTATTGATGTGTCCAGCATTCACTTCTATTGATGTGCCCAGCATTCACTTCTATTGATGTGTCCAGCATTCACTTCTATTGATGTGTCCAGCATTCACTTCTATTGATGTGTCCAGTATTCACTTCTATTGATGTGCCCAGCATTCACTTCTATTGATGTGTCCAGCATTCACTTCTATTGATGTGTCCAGCATTAACTTCTATTGATGTGTCCAGCATTCACTTCTATTGATGTGCCCAGCATTCACTTCTATTGATGTGTCCAGCATTCACTTCTATTGATGTGCCCAGCATTCACTTCTATTGATGTGTCCAGCATTCACTTCTATTGATGTGTCCAGCATTCACTTCTATTGATGTGTCCAGCATTCACTTCTATTGATGTGTCCAGCATTCACTTCTATTGATGTGTCCAGCATTCACTTCTATTGATGTGTCTAGCATTAACTTCTATTGATGTGTCCAGCATCTATTTCTATTGACGTATCCAGCGTTAACTTCTGTTGATGTGTCCAGCATTTACTTCTATTGATATGTCCAACATTCACTTCTATTGATGTTCTTGCCCAGCTTTTCTGATCAAATATATTCACAAACCAGCAAAGAAAAAAAATCGTTTCTTCAATACGAGAAAAACAAAGCCAATATTAATTTCGAGCAACATATTGGTGCGAAAATCAATAGCAGTCTTTTGATGAGTAGGAAAACACTCGTCGTCATCGAATATTGTAGCAGGTGTTTGACAACAAACTTTCATACCTATAGCAAACATTTTCTTATTTACATTCTAGTTTTACTGTTTTTCATTGACCTGATTTTTTTCTCTAGGTTTTTAACATAAAGTTATTGAAAACAACCAAGCTGAATAAATGTATAGAAGCTGCCGTAGTACAGTCCCCTGACATCGATATGACAACAACAAGACCGTGCCTGCTAGGACTGGATAGCACAGAAACGAATGTACTTTAGTCGTTAATAGTTGAAGTACATGATAGCAGGGTGGGAGGGGCGGGGCCTTCAGATTTTTTTTTTGCCATTTACAGCGTGAAGAAACGGGGTCTAGATTCTAAGTGACGTGAAATTTTAAAACTTAAAATAATGAAAAGCCTATTGTTTTTGTTTTGTTTATTTTAGAAAAAGAAACAACGGGTGGGTTGGGGGTGGTGGAGGGGACCGCGTTGCCTAGAAATTCTCGAGTTTGAATCAAATCAGTAGAACGTCCTTTAAGTCAACTCAGATCTGACGTTTAAAGAAAATACAGATGAACTCTACTTCACTTACCTCATGGACCGACAGTTTTGATTAGGGAACATTGCTAAGCTGGACATTGGGAGGTAATTAAAAGGTGGAGGGGAGGTCTGGCTTCAAAACAAATTATGTGTTGTTGTAGAGAGGAGGATAGAGTTAGGAGGGTAGAGAGAGGAGGGAAGAGAAAGGAGGGTAGAGAGATGGTGAGTAGATAGAGGAGGTTAGAGAGAGGAGGGAAGAGAGAGGAGGAGGAGAGAGGAGAGAGGAGGGTAGAGAGAGGAGGGAATAGATAGGAGGGTAGAGAGAGGAGGAGGAGAGAGGAGGGAGGAGGGTAGAGAGAGGAGGGAAGAGAGAGGAGGGAAGAGAGAGGAGGAGGAGAGAGGAGAGAGGAGGGTAGAGAGAGGAGGGAAGAGAGAGGAGGGTAGAGAGAGGAGGGAAGAGAGAGGAGGGTAGAGAGAGGGT